ACATAGCCAGCATGGTCCCCACTGGACCCCAGGTAAGCCACCCACACTGCTAGATATACAAATAATACAAACAGCTCAAACACACACATATCGTCTGCACAAACACAACACCAATAACAATCCACATAGACGCACACAACCCCACAAGCAATCTCTCACATGCAATACCCCAAGTAGCCCCACAGATACCCACCCCACCAAACACACAATGTGACATGTCCATCAACACACTCAATTCCACAAGCGGCCCTGATACACAGCCGACATTCATAGGTATCATACACAATACCACAAACTACTCATGAACATATACAATATAACAGCTCATATATGCATAAATACAGCAATACAAAGCAACTACAGTATATATAACACAAGCAGAATACGGCAATTTACACACCTCAATTTAAAAAAATAGGATCGGCCCCCTGCGGGATATCACAATCTTATTTTAGTACTGTTAGAAGGTTGCCTACCCCTGGAATAGACTATGAAAAAAAGAGAAAAATGGTTGTGATTATACTTAATGATCAGTAGATGGCCCCAGATCGACACGTCACAGCATATATGTAAAAAAAAAAAAGTATAAACACAGATGATAGTGCAGACTGTTGGATTAAATGTACATTCAGAACGTAATATGTTAACTTACATCAAGAAACCACATCAAGAAACCAACGTGCGCAAAAATGCGTGCGGTAGGATTTTTGGAAGTTAAAACCTCCTTTTGAGCGAGTGGGCGGGCGGTGCAGGCGGGCACGAGCGCACACATCAATCAACCTCCTTTTGTGCGAGAAGGGGTCGGGCGGGAGCGAGCGCACGCAAACACGTGGGAAGAGGAAGGGGAGGAGTGGAAACTGATAGCAGGGACAGGCAGAAACGGAGCAGAGCAGTTGCAAAAGAAAAGTTATAGGCAGGAGAAAGAGAATTGTTGGCTAATAATAATAAGTGGGAAGCTATACATATAACACATCAAAACAAGAATAACAAAAAGTTAGCATTTAGGAATTATAAAAAAACCCAGAGTGAGGAAGACAAACTGATCTATAAGATTAGGCAGAAAGAGGCTAAGCAAGTTATAAGAGCTTCCAAATCACACACAGAAGAGAAAATAGCACAGTAGGTAAAAAAGGGGGATAAAACATTTTTAAGATACATAAATGAGAAAAGAAAAGTAAAACAAGGGTTAGTTAGATTAAAAACAAAAGAAGGAAGGTATGTAGAAGAGGATAAAGGTCTAGCTGACTGCCTCAATGAATATTTTTGTTCTGTATTTACAGATGAAAATGAAGGAACGGGACCTCAGTTGAGAAAAAAGATAAATGAGTCATTTATTACACATGAGTTTACAGAGGAAGAGGTTCTATTTCAACTGTCAAAAGTAAAGACAAATAAGTCAATGGGACCTGATGGAATACACCCAAAGCTATTAAAAGAGCTTAGTGGTGTACTAGCAAAACCATTAACAGATGTATTTAACCAATCATTGTTAACAGGAGTAGTCCCAGAAGATTGGAAGTTAGCTAATGTTGTGCCCATTTACAAGAAAGGTAATAGGGAGGAGTCGGGCAACTATAGGCCAGTAAGCCTTACTTCAGTAGTGGGGAAAGTGATGGAAACCATGTTAAAGGATAGATTGTTGAACATCTAAAAACACATGGATTTCAAGATCAGAGACAACATGGGTTTACTTCAGGGAGATCGTGCCAAACTAATCTTATTGATTTTTTTTGATTGGGTAACTAAAATTATAGATCAGGGTGGTGCAGTAGACATTGTTTACCTAGATTTCAGTAAGGCTTTTGACACTGTTGCACATAGAAGGCTTATCAATAAACTGCAATCTTTAAGTTTGGATTCAAATATTATGTATATGAAAAAGAAGGTGCACACAATAACAGTAAGGTGAAAGCAAGCTCTTACACTTAAGTGAAGGAATCCCTTAACCTTCACGACACAGAACATGCAAATAAAACAAAATATAAGTGGAGCTTTGGTTTACCTTTACAGATAGTAGTATTTCATAAATAGACAAGGTGCTATTACAATAATCTGCAAACAATAAACAAGCAAATCTTAGTGCAGATGGTTTTTATGCAAAAATGAATGCAAATAGATAAAAAATGGGTAACTCACAAACATAGAGCCAATAACACATTTGGCTCTAATGGTAAGCGCCTCAGGATCTTCTAAGGGAGATCCAATGCCCTCTTTCTGTCTCCTCCTGGTCTCCTCCACCTTAAGCCAATTTGGTAGGAATAGAAAGGAAAATCTCCAAGGAAGGTATGAACAAAATTTATTAAAAGTACTCAATATAAAATAATAAATAAAAATCAATTTGAAATTAAGTATAAAATCAATCCAAAACGCGTTTCGCCAGTAGATGGCTTCCTCAGTTGGTATAATGATCACTGTATCCTCGTGTTCTTTTATATGCTCCTTAATTATGGAATTGCCGGCATCTGCCGGACCGGAAGTTCATTATGTGGAACGCATGTGGAGCTTGTTGGAACGCACCAACGTATACGCGTGCGTGCGTAAGTCACGTGACTCGGCTGTTTGCCGGACCGGAAGTTCATTATGTGGAACGCATGTGGAGCTTGTTGGAACGCACGAACGTATACGCGTACGTGCGTAAGTCATGTGACTCGGCTGTTCGCCTCCCTTATTATTCGTAACATATGCGTTTCACTGCCGTCAATTATAGTGGACAACTAGATCATTTCCTTACTCTTCGTGGAACGCAATATATGCGTTTCACTGCTGAATTGTATGTTGTTCGACCAAAAGTCCTTAGATAAATTGTCCATAAGGTCTCAATGAACCCAAATACAGAAAAAGGAGGAAATACAATAAACCCATTAATAAATATATTATTTCCAATGTGATGTTCATTAAATATACATAATGATAACAGACTCCTACAGTCATGTGAAAAAGTTAAGACAAAAGTGGGTAAAAATCCAGAGGGGTAGAAAGGAGATATTACAATATATTAAAAAATATTATTAAAACACTAATTGGAATAAAAAATTTTTAAAAAGGAAAAAGGAGGACTTCTATAAGGATAGGGGATATTTATGACAGGAAATGACACAATTCGAAATCCAAATTTAATCCATGGGGGACCATGGTATTAAAATTAAAAATAAAAGTCATTTCTTCTATGCCAATTTTCTTTATAAAATCTCCACCCCTCCAATTATTTTTAACCAATTTAAGAGCACAAAACATGAGACCCTGTGGATTTTGATGGTGATAGTGTTTAAAATGCTGAGAGACACTATGTGTTTCAACTCCTTTCTTAATGTTTCTCACATGTTCAGAAATTCTTAAGTGAAGACATCTAATTGTCCTCCCAATGTACATTTTATTACATGGACAAATTAATAAATAAATGATATTCTTAGAGAAACATGTCAATTGATCTCTAATTTCAAACTCTTTATTAGTAATTTCACCTATGTTCTTTATATGTCTTTTTTTACTTAATGTTTCCCTACATGCAAGGCACGTTCCGCACCCATAAAAGCCTTTACTTTTAATCAGAAAATTGTCATTTTTATTTTGCTGATGTTTTAAATTACTGTTTACTAAGAAATTCTTAATGTTCTTGCATCCCCTATGTACAATTTTAGGTCTCTCTGGCAATATTTCTTTAAGAATTGGGTCATCTTGTAATAAATGCCAATACTTACTGATGGCATACCGCACTTTCTTATTGTTAGCGGAAAAATTACAGATAAAAGGAACATTAAATTTTTTATCTTCTATCCTTGTTTTTTTCTTCTTATAAGTTAATAAATCTTTTTGTTCTAATCTTTTTGTTTCTTCTATACTCTTTTGAAGATCTTCCTCTTTATACCCTTTTTCTAAAAATTGTTTCTTAATTATCTGGGTTTGTTCTAAAAAATCATAATCTTTTGTACAATTTCTTCTCAACCTCATAAACTGGCTCTTAGGTGCATTTGTGAGCCACGGAGCATAATGGCAACTGGTTAAATCAATATATCCATTACAGTCTACTTCTTTAAAATAGTTTTTTGTAAAAAGATTTCCTTCTTCTATAAAAACAGTGATGTCTAGAAAATTAATTTCTTTTTTGCTTTGGGTAGAGGTGAGGCTGATCCCCCAGTCATTACAATTTAAAAAGCTTAAGAAATTGGCTAAACTCAAATCGTCTCCCTTCCAAATAAAAAATATATCGTCAATGTAACGGCGATAGGTGACCAAGTTCGCAAAAAATTCGCTATATAAAATAAACATTTCTTCCCAGTATGCCATGAAAAGATTTGCGTAACTGGGTGCGAACTTGGTCCCCATCGCCGTTCCATTAATTTGTAAATAATAACTGTCTTTAAACCAAAAAAAATTATTAGTCAGAATTAAAAATATGCCTTCTTTGATAAAATTAATCTGTTCTTGTTTAAAATTTGACCTTTCTAAAAAATATTGCACTGCCTCTATTCCCTTTGTGTGTGGGATTATACTATAAAGGGAACTTACATCACAAGTGACCAACGTATAATTGTCTTCCCATTTAATATTGCCTAAAATCTGCAGAATATGTATTGTGTCTTTGAGGTACGTTGGGTTTTTAATTACCACCGGTTGGAGTAGAACATCTATGTATTCTGATACTCTCGATGAGATGCTCTCTACTCCGGAAATTATGGGTCTACCTGGAGGATTAGTCAGATGTTTATGCATCTTAGGTAGGCAATAAAACACTGGGATCTGGGGATGTGAAATTTTCAAATATTTAGCTTCTGTGTCTGTTAGGATATTATTTTCTAATCCTTCATTAATAAAATCCTGAAACTTAATTAAAATTTCCGGACTAGGGTTGGATGCTAGTTTCTTATATGTTTTTATATCTGACAGAAGTCTTTCAGCTTCCCCCACATATTTCTCTTTGGATAAGACTACAACTCCTCCTCCCTTGTCTGCAGGTTTTACGATTAAATTCTCATTCTTTTTTAACTTCTTTAGAGTTTTAGTCTCTGCCTGTGTAAGATTCTTTTGATATTTGTTTGTATGTTTAATTTCTTTTTTATTTTCAAACATACAAACAAATATCAAAAGAATCTTACACAGGCAGAGACTAAAACTCTAAAGAAGTTAAAAAAGAATGAGAATTTAATCGTAAAACCTGCAGACAAGGGAGGAGGAGTTGTAGTCTTATCCAAAGAGAAATATGTGGGGGAAGCTGAAAGACTTCTGTCAGATATAAAAACATATAAGAAACTAGCATCCAACCCTAGTCCGGAAATTTTAATTAAGTTTCAGGATTTTATTAATGAAGGATTAGAAAATAATATCCTAACAGACACAGAAGCTAAATATTTGAAAATTTCACATCCCCAGATCCCAGTGTTTTATTGCCTACCTAAGATGCATAAACATCTGACTAATCCTCCAGGTAGACCCATAATTTCCGGAGTAGAGAGCATCTCATCGAGAGTATCAGAATACATAGATGTTCTACTCCAACCGGTGGTAATTAAAAACCCAACGTACCTCTAAGACACAATACATATTCTGCAGATTTTAGGCAATATTAAAGGGGAAGACAATTATACGTTGGTCACTTGTGATGTAAGTTCCCTTTATAGTATAATCCCACACACAAAGGGAATAGAGGCAGTGCAATATTTTTTAGAAAGGTCAAATTTTAAACAAGAACAGATTAATTTTATCAAAGAAGGCATATTTTTAATTCTGACTAATAATTTTTTTTGGTTTAAAGACAGTTATTATTTACAAATTAATGGAACGGCGATGGGGACCAAGTTCGCACCCAGTTACGCAAATCTTTTCATGGCATACTGGGAAGAAATGTTTATTTTATATAGCGAATTTTTTGCGAACTTGGTCACCTATCGCCGTTACATTGACGATATATTTTTTATTTGGAAGGGAGACGATTTGAGTTTAGCCAATTTCTTAAGCTTTTTAAATTGTAATGACTGGGGGATCAGCCTCACCTCTACCCAAAGCAAAAAAGAAATTAATTTTCTAGACATCACTGTTTTTATAGAAGAAGGAAATCTTTTTACAAAAAACTATTTTAAAGAAGTAGACTGTAATGGATATATTGATTTAACCAGTTGCCATTATGCTCCGTGGCTCACAAATGCACCTAAGAGCCAGTTTATGAGGTTGAGAAGAAATTGTACAAAAGATTATGATTTTTTAGAACAAACCCAGATAATTAAGAAACAATTTTTAGAAAAAGGGTATAAAGAGGAAGATCTTCAAAAGAGTATAGAAGAAACAAAAGATTAGAACAAAAAGATTTATTAACTTATAAGAAGAAAAAAACAAGGATAGAAGATAAAAAATGTAATGTTCCTTTTATCTGTAATTTTTCCGCTAACAATAAGAAAGTGCGGTATGCCATCAGTAAGTATTGGCATTTATTACAAGATGACCCAATTCTTAAAGAAATATTGCCAGAGAGACCTAAAATTGTACATAGGGGATGCAAGAACATTAAGAATTTCTTAGTAAACAGTAATTTAAAACATCAGCAAAATAAAAATGACAATTTTCTGATTAAAAGTAAAGGCTTTTATGGGTGCGGAACGTGCCTTGCATGTAGGGAAACATTAAGTAAAAAAAGACATATAAAGAACATAGGTGAAATTACTAATAAAGAGTTTGAAATTAGAGATCAATTGACATGTTTCTCTAAGAATATCATTTATTTATTAATTTGTCCATGTAATAAAATGTACATTGGGAGGACAATTAGATGTCTTCACTTAAGAATTTCTGAACATGTGAGAAACATTAAGAAAGGAGTTGAAACACATAGTGTCTCTCAGCATTTTAAACACTATCACCATCAAAATCCACAGGGTCTCATGTTTTGTGCTCTTAAATTGGTTAAAAATAATTGGAGGGGTGGAGATTTTATAAAGAAAATTGGCATAGAAGAAATGACTTTTATTTTTAATTTTAATACCATGGTCCCCCATGGATTAAATTTGGATTTCGAATTGTGTCATTTCCTGTCATAAATATCCCCTATCCTTATAGAAGTCCTCCTTTTTCCTTTTTAAAAATTTTTTATTCCAATTAGTGTTTTAATAATATTTTTTAATATATTGTAATATCTCCTTTCTACCCCTCTGGATTTTTACCCACTTTTGTCTTAACTTTTTCACATGACTGTAGGAGTCTGTTATCATTATGTATATTTAATGAACATCACATTGGAAATAATATATTTATTAATGAGTTTATTGTATTTCCTCCTTTTTCTGTATTTGGGTTCATTGAGACCTTATGGACAATTTATCTAAGGACTTTTGGTCGAACAACATACAATTCAGCAGTGAAACGCATATATTGCGTTCCACGAAGAGTAAGGAAATGATCTAGTTGTCCACTATAATTGACGGCAGTGAAACGCATATGTTACGAATAATAAGGGAGGCGAACAGCCGAGTCACATGACTTACGCACGTACGCGTATACGTTCGTGCGTTCCAACAAGCTCCACATGCGTTCCACATAATGAACTTCTGGTCCGGCAGATGCCGGCAATTCCATAATTAAGGAGCATATAAAAGAACACGAGGATACAGTGATCATTATACCAACTGAGGAAGCCAGCTACTGGCGAAACGCGTTTTGGATTGATTTTATACTTAATTTCAAATTGATTTTTATTTATTATTTTATATTGAGTACTTTTAATAAATTTTGTTCATACCTTCCTTGGAGATTTTCCTTTCTATTCCTACCAAATTGGCTTAAGGTGGAGGAGACCAGGAGGAGACAGAAAGAGGCCATTGGATCTCCCTTAGAAGATCCTGAGGCGCTTACCATTAGAGCCAAATGTGTTATTGGCTCTATGTTTGTGAGTTACCCATTTTTTATCTATTTGCATTCATTTTTGCATAAAAACCATCTGCACTAAGATTTGCTTGTTTATTGTTTGCAGATTATTGTAATAGCACCTTGTCTATTTATGCAATACTACTATCTGTAAAGGTAAACCAAAGCTCCACTTATATTTTGTTTTATTTGGATTCAAATATTGTTGAATGGGTAAGGCAGTGGCTGAGTGACAGGCAACAGAGGGTTGTGGTTAATGGAATATATTCGAAGCTTGGACTTGTCACCAGTGGGGTACCTCAGGGATCTGTACTTGGACCCATTCTCTTTAATATTTTTATTAGTGATATTGCAGAAGGTCTTGATGGTAAGGTATGTCTTTTTGCTGATGATACTAAGATATGTAACAGGGTTGATGTTCCAGGAGGGATAAGCCAAATGACAAATGATTTAGGTAAACTAGAAAAATGGTCAGAATTGTGGCAACTGACATTTAATGTGGATAAGTGCAAGATAATGCATCTTGGACGTAAAAACCCAAGGGCAGAGTACAGAATATTTGATAGAGTCCTAACCTCAACATCTGAGGAAAGGGATTTAGGGGTGATTATTTCTGATGACTTAAAGGTAGGCAGACAATGTAATAGAGCAGCAGGAAATGCTAGCAGAATGCTTGGTTGTATAGGGAGAGGTATTAGCAGTAGAAAGAGGGAAGTGCTCATGCCATTGTACAGAACACTGGTGAGACCTCACTTGGAGTATTGTACACAGTACTGGAGACCGTATCTTCAGAAGGATATTGATACCTTAGAGGGGGTTCAGAGAAGGGCTACTAAACTGGTTCATGGATTGTGGGATAAAACTTACCAGGAAAGGTTAAAGGATCTCAACATGTATAGCTTGGAGGAATGACGAGACAAGGGGGATATGATAGAAACATTTAAATATATAAAGGGAATCAACACAGTAAAGGAGGAGACTATATTTAAAAGAAGAAAAACTACCACAACAACAGGACATAGTCTTAAATTAGAGGGACAAAGGTTTAAAAATAATATCAGGAAGTATTACTTTACTGAGAGGGTAGTGGATGCATGGAATAGCCTTCCAGCCAGTGGCGGATCCAGAGCCTGATCTCGGGAGGGACACTTGTAGATTATTTAAAGAAATAATCCAGACACAATAACAACTACAGCTCAGTGTAGTGGTTATGGTGTCAATAGTGCCGGGACCCCCTCCCAGAGTAAGTAGTCAAACCGTTTAAGAACAGTTTGAAAATTTACCTGAGGTCTTCTGGGAAATGGGGCAGTAGTAGGGCATAGGAGCAGTGGTGTGTGTGAGTGGTGCAGTGTGTGTGTGTGTGAGGGGGACAGTGTGTGCGCAGTGTGTGTGTGAGGGCAGCAGTGTATGTGTGGGACAGTATGTGTGTGTAACAGTTGCAGTGTGTGTGTGAGTATTGCAGTGTATGTGTGTGTATGGGGCAGCAGTGTATGGGGGCAGTGTGTGTGTATCGGGTAGTGTACGTGTGTAGAGTGTGTGTAGGGGGGCAGTGTGTGTGCAGGGGGCAGTGTATGTGTGTAGAGTGTGTGTATGGGGGACAGTGTGTGTATCGGGTAGTGTATGTGTGTAGAGTGTGTGTATGGGGGGCAGTGTGGGTGTATGGGGGGACAGTATAGGGGCAATGTGTGTGTATGGGGGGGCAGTGTGTGTGCAGGGGGCAGTATGGGAGGCAATGTGGGTGTATAGGGGCAGTAATATGGGTGTATGGGGGGCAGTATGGTGTATGAAACATGTATGGAGAGCAATGTGTATGGGGCGGCAGTGTATGGGGGCAGTGTGTGTATGGGGCAGTGTATGTGTGTAGAGTGTATGTATGGGGGCAGGGCAGCGTGTGTGTATGGGGGACAGTGTGTGTATCGGGTAGTGTATGTGTGTAGAGTGTGTGTATGGGGGGCAGTGTGGGTGTATGGGGGGACAGTATAGGGGCAATGTGTGTGTATGGGGGCAGTATATAGGTGTAGGGGAGCATTGCCAGGTGTATAGGGGGGACAGTATGGGTGTATGGGGGCAGTATGGGGGAGCAGTGTGTGTGTATGAGGACAGTATGAGGCAATGTGTGTGTATGGGAGGCAGTATATATATATATGGGGAGCAATGTGTGTATAGAGGCAGTATAGGTGTATGAGGGAGCAGTATGAGGGCAATAGGTGTATGGGGCAGTATGGGTGTGAGGGGAGCAGTATGAGAGCAATGTGT